CCAGCTGTGCCTGAGTGACCGAGCCCCAGGCCGAGAGGCCGGGGGCACCCTACCTCCGAAGGGGCCCGAGCGATAGTTTTTCTTTTTGGATGAAAGTTTGCAGGGCTAAATATGTGTTTATGCTGTGTGGACAGACAAACGCAGAGGACAGATCCGAGGTCCACATCATTGGTGTGGCCACGACTGACATGCAGAACCAGCTGCAGCTACTCCTGGAAACCTGACAGAGCGTCTATAGTGAGAGGGAAACGTGGAAGCACTTGGATGAGGAACTGGAGAAGGACGAGGTCACCGTTAACAAGACAATCAAAGGGAAACAAATCATGCAGATAGAAAAATATCTGTGTCAATAATTTAAAGAAAACTATTTATGGTTCCTTTATTTTGTTCAGGCTGTTCAGACAAACATGCAAAATGATATTTTATAAATTATAAAGAATGAGGTTCATTGTTTTTTATGCTTATTCATATTTTAATGGCACCTTATTATGAGCAGTACCGTATTTAACAGTAATAGTTTTAAGTGCTTTGCATTAAAGATTCTAATAAAGAGTTGGAAATGCATGAAACAGTCGGCAGCTTTGATACGACACACTTTTCATCTGCTGTTTAAGCATAAAAATGATCTAAAGCAACAGAACGTTCCACCAGAAGGACAACAAGTGCCCATCTGTGTGGTCAACACCATTAGTGATTGGTTTTTGGGGAGGAGGAGGAGATGAAAAATGTTGTTAAAAAGAAGAATAACACAACTAAAAATAAAGATCAAAGCTTAATGTTGTATTTGGTAGGTATTAAATGGGGTGTGTCCATCAACTCTGTACCTTCAAAGAACCCAATAAATTCCTTTCATTATTCATTTTAACATTGCTGCTGTTTAATGCTTTGTTCAGATAATGATGTCGGGGCAAAATGATGAAGTCCAGATTTCTGGGTGGATGTGACATCAATGAAACCAGGCGTGAACATTTTATTAAAAGGTTTATCCAACAACACTGAATCACAGGATTAAAGCAAAGATAAATCACAGGATATGAGTTTGTATACAACGAGTGCCACCTGACACACTGAAACAACAAAACGTTTAACACTGAGGTGTTTGAAACATGCATTCAGTGATTTGTAAAACAAAAAGTCTTTAGTGTGGAAATATTGAACCTAAACGTACATTTGTTACGATCCAGCTCAAAAGCCTCAACATAAATATAGAGACTAAAATAAGTTAGTGGTACCATCTCTTTCAGCTAAGACAAAGACTGTATACCAATTTAGGCTCTGCAGCCTTAACAGTCTACAAGGGCCGCGAAGACCACTAAGGCCGGAAGTGCGAGGCTTGTAGGCTCGTGAAATGGGACGGTCTAACCTCCGTCGCGCTGCCCAGGTTGCCTAGCAACCATGATACTAACCGTGGGAAATGTTTCATACAGCTTTGTGTGACAGAAATGAAGGAGAACACGTTTTGTTCATTTGTTTCTATGAGCTCTGTGTGACCTGATAAGTGTCTGAGGCTGAGACCACAGGACTGTAAAACATGATTGTTGGGTTTCATTTCTGTGCTGAACAGTCATTTTATTATCTTAACCATTATTAGTAATTACAGCAGTGAGCTTGAACTGTGCCAAACACTGAGCTTCAGTAAAGATTCAAGTTTCAGTTATTTATATTTCCTATCACCATAAATCTTCACTCAAAGACGAGTATCTGTGACAGTGTATAAATACGTATAGATGTATCATATATAAGTGAATCATATATAAGAGACAAATATTGTTCCTTCAGTATGTTGGCATTACTGAATTTGGCTCAATGCTTACATATATGTGTAAAATGTAGGAGCTGTGATAACTGTGTCTGATAGAATGAAGAGTCGACTGATATATGAAATATTCCTTTATTGGGTGAGAAAATCAGACCATGTCATAACTGCTGTAAGTCACACAGAATAGA